CAAAGAATTTCCTAATGGTTTGTCCATCATATTTAGTCCCTCTATTTGCTCTAAGTCTTTTTTTATTTTCTTTCCTAACTGGTTTTCTACTTCAATTTTGTAGTTTATGAAAGGTTGATCAACTTCATCTTTGATCTAAGTAGAACTATTTTTGCATATTTAGAGAAGTCATCTGTAAATGTTATATAGTATCTTTTTCCTCCTCTAGCTTCATGACATTTAAGGTCGCCTAGATCATTGTGTATAAGTTGTAATAATTTAGTTTCTCTTTGTACACTTTTATGAGGTTTCTTAGTGAATTTTGCTTCTACACATACTTGATATTTTTCATTTGTAAAAGTAATAGGAACATTCAAAACTCCTAATTTACATAATCATTTTAAATAAGGAGCACTACGATGTCCTAGTCTAGCATGCCAAATATTAAAAGATTCAACGATATAAGTAAAAGAAGAAGCAGTTTTATTCATAACAATATCAGAAATATTCAGTACAAACAGTCCTCCAGCATTGTATCCTTTTCCAATAAAAATTATTTTTAGTAACACGGCTTTGTATGCTTCAAATGTGAGTTTGGTCCTATTTGTTGAGGAGTGCTCCCGATACCAAGTTTCGTCGGATCTCTGGCACATGTAGCACATCATTCTGCATTAGAATTTTTCTTGAAGTCACTTTCAGGAGCACATTTCCTTTGTCGTTGGCCTTCGAAGTTTGTGAGTTTCCCATGAAGACTTGCTCTCCTTCAAACTGAGTTGTATACTCATAGAAGGAACTGCGGTCCCCACGTATGTGCTTGGTAGCACCAGTGTCCAGTACCCACTTCTTCGGCTTATCAACTAAGTTTACCTCAGTTGCCATGGCTACGATAACATCCTCAGTCAAATTGACTTTTGGTTTCCCAAAGTCCTTCTTCTTTCGGTACCGGTAGTCATTCTTGTAATGTTCGGATTTACCACATACATAGAAATTTCCTTTCTTTTGTTGCTTCTTGAATTTATTCTCATTTTTCACATTCAAATTCTTTTTGAATTTTGCAGTCTTTTCCTCCACTAGATTGGTTTTGGAAAACTGGTCATCATCTTTCTTTCTATTCTTTTCTTCTATCTTAATTCGGATTACTACTTGGTCCAAAGTAGTGTCCTGCCTCTTATGCTTCATATTAGTCTTGAAATCATTCCATGTATATAACAGTTTCTCTATGAGAGAACCGGCAATGAATTCATCTAGTAGTACCATGCCTTCTTTTGCTAGTTCCCCCACAAGAACCTGGAACTCATCTATTTGGGCAGACACGTCCATGTCTTCTTTCATGGTAAAGTGCAGGAAGTTGGCAATTACGTATTTCTTGTTTCTAGCATTTTCCAGAGCATATTTATTGTCCAAAGCATTCCAAATTTCATAGGCATAATTGTGGGAAGAATAGACATTATATAGTTCATTGGACAAGAAGTTGAGGATATGGTTGGTGCAGAGGTGATCAGTTGTAGTCCAGTGTTCTGCAACAACAGAACGAGCTGGTTCCTCCATGTTTAATGGGTTTAATTCAATCAAAGCAAAGGCTACTAATTGTTCTAAGGCAAATAGCAGGTGTTGTCTCCAACGCTTGTAGTTGGTTCCATTGAAGGGTTCAATCTTAGGGAAGTCAAGAACTGTTGACAGTATCCGGTTCCTCATGAAGGAGTTAGTAGTGATAGGTTCCATAAATGCAGTTTTAAGATTGTTGTAAAAATGATAAAGAAAGTAGAATGGAACTTATCGGTAATCACTTTCTAAACCAAATTTGTAGTGGTGTGATGTTGCAGAATCTCAAAATTGAAAATTGCAGGAAGAAGGAGGGTTGAGTCGTGCCAGTTGGTCACTCTCCTTAAAACCATATTTGCCCCCTACGGTGCAGCCGGGTGATCACAAATCGGTCGCAAAGATAAAACAGCCCATAGGCCACTGGTAGGCGTGCACTTGTTTACTAGAACTCCACGAACCAAGAAGACTAATGCTTAGATTTATAGAGAAGACAAGGAGTCGAAAATGTTGTGTGTGTACTGGGCTGGCCAACACTCTTATTATAGAGTGTTCTCAGACCCGAATGGACACAAAGGTGTTCGTTCAGATAGGAGCCTCTTCAGAACAGTGCACTTGTTTGAAGAGGCACAGGGAGGAAGAAGAGGCATGGAAAGAGAAAATGTTTTAAAAAGGTTTAAACTAGCAAAACAATTCAGTGCATTGCGCGTATATGTACACATACACGCACCCTTAACCCGACCCAACCCGGCTCGGCTTGGCGCGTGTGTGCGAAAAGCACCCTCAACCCCCTTCATATGAATGGAATATTTATAATGCGCTCCTCCTATGAGTTCCACCCATAGAGAGAGCAAAACTACAAATATACTCTACTTCCACTCCTTTCCTAAGCAATGTGGGACAAGGAGTCTTCCCATACACTCAAGGGTGGGAAGAGGAAAAGACAAAAACAAAAGAGGGAGGAAAGAGATTATTGAAATTTTGAATCTCCCTCCAACAATACATATATATACAAGAATCATCAACTTTGTTCACTGACTTAACCCTTGTGAGAATTCTCAAAATTCTCAAAATGTTTTTGAGTATTCTCAACGGTGCCATAGAAGGAACATAAAAGTTTATCCTCTGCCCAACAAATGCTACACTGTCTTGCCACCTCTCAACTCCTCCCTCGTTAGGCCTGGTCCAACTCTGCCTAGTTGAAGACTTCTTATTGTTTTCCTTAATTAGTCTCTCATATGTCACCGCTTTCTTTATAGAGATACAAACAAAACTCATTAACAATAGAAAGTCATAATGGTGAATAGACCGGTGGTTCTGGGAAACCAAAAGAGTCAAAATGTTGTCGATGGCAAATAGTGGGAGAAGCAGTGGACACCCACTTAATAAATCTTTGGGAAAATTCCTGATAGGTACCCTGTACTTTAGGCCGAGTGACAATTTAGTACCCCAACTTTCAAAATGTGGCAATTTAGTACCTACCGTTAATGGACCGCCAATTATGTATATCACATGACCTCATGTTCGATTTAATATTTTTTAAATGTCAAAATTATCCTTAAAATAAAATACACTGTTCATTATCTTCTTTTTCACGAAAATAAAACAGATCTCAAGCTCTCAATAGTCCAGACAAAAACCGAAGAATCTGCTTGTCGCTCGCTATCCTCCGCCCGAACTGTAAATCGTCGACACAGAATGAAGAAATGATGGCCATTAGAGACAGACATTAAGGTTCTGAACTAGAAGCACGTCGAGGAATTGGTCAATAGAGATCTCGGTATGAGAGAAGGTGGTGCCTTTCTGCATAGATGATGAAGGCTCGAAGAACAAAAGGTGACCTTTCATGTGGTGGCCATTGTCTATCAGACTCTCACCTCTGTATCGCAACACAACAAATTCTTCCCTTCCCTGTTATAGATTTTGGATGGATATCTTATTTGTTGGCATCGACTCCATTACCATCACAGTAAATGCCGACTTCTGGGTCAGTAGAGGGAAATAGTTATGGTGGGTCATTGCTTGAGGTTGAATGAGCTAAAACACATTTTGTATGATGATACCGTATGTCATCAATATGATTTCTGAGTTGTGATTGACTGTATAGATTGACAAGTATACCTGCAGCAAAATAATGTGAACCTATTGAGAGTAAGTGGTTGCACATGATGTCAAGAGTAACTATGATTGATTAACTCAATAAAGCTCTAACCTGTCCCCTTTCTCATTTCACTTGCTTCCTTGTATTCTCTAATTTTCATGGACATATCTCTATATCACCAATTTCAGAATAGAAGCTCAATGCCTGCAACAACACCGCAAGATTGTTAGGGTCGAGCTCCAGCAAAACTATTGCAACTCTTCTTCCTACCTTCTCATTTCGGTGTACTATACAACTATGCAACAAGGAGCTCCACATTATTGAATCACCCTTAACTGGTGGAATTTTAGCAACATTTCTGCTTCCTCTAACAAGCCTGCTCGCCCCAGAAGATCAACCATGCATGAATAGTGCCTCCTATCTAGGTAGACGGGATGGTTTCCATTGATTCAAATATTAGTTGCCCTTCTCTCACCAAACCTAAGTGACTGCAACCCATTAACACAAACAAGAATGTTATAGCATCAGGCCCTCCTGGATCATGGTCTCAAGCATCTTGAGGCCCTCTCTACCCATTCCGTGTAGGCATATATCAAATAGCAGAAAGTAACACCATTTGGATCAACCCCAACATCTGATTTCATCTTCAAGTAGAATCCTAGCACCTCATATGATCGACCMRWT